TTGCTGATACGCGAAGTGACTACTTCAGTGATGTGACCACCAGAGGTGACACAGATACCAAGGTAAGTGAACCGATTCACCACTTCCAGTGGCTGTTCAGTGATAGCTAGAACTGGAAATGTGCCGGTCCAGTGCCGCAACAGTACTTTGCACTTTGAAGGTGCAAAGCGCATGTCGAAGCGTGCAGCGCTACGCGTCAGTCTATACAGCGGTGTGTGCATAACCACTCTGTCAGACACAAGCAATGCTATGTCGTCCGCATACTCAAGATTTGTCAGTCGGTCAACTGGAAGAACTTTACTCCGGTATAGTCTGAAAGAACGGAGTCACTCATGATCATTTCGAGCACGAAGTTGAAGAGGAAAGGAGACAAAGGACAACCCTTGCGAACCCCACTTGTCGTGGGGAACTCAGGGGAGAGTTTCCCGCAGACCCTTACGCGGCCTAGGGAATCACAGTTGAGACTTCAGAATGGAAAGAAGTTTAGCTGAAACGCCCTTCATGGATAGACAGTGCCACAAGTTGGCACGATCAACAAAGTGGAACGCTGTTCTCAATTCGAAGAAAACCACCATAGTCAGTCGTCTGTGTGTCTTTGCTCTAAAATCCAGCGAAGAGTTAATAAGTGACCGATACAACCACGACCAGAATTGAAGCCAGCCTGGCAATCAGTGATTCCGTTGTCACGGGGACCAGTAAGTCGTCGAAGAATGATACCCGTGAGAGGTTTCGAGGCAATGGAAACATGACCGATGCCTCGATGATTTTCGCCCAAAGTACGCTGACCTTTCTTGAAGATGGACACAACAGGTGACACCATTTCATTATTCAAAATCATGTTAAAAAGCAATTCCAGTCAACAAATGATCATCGCCATCTTTCAGCAAAAATGCGGAAAGGTCGTCGAGTTCAGGAGCCATGTTAGGTTACAACACGGAAAGCTCATTTCGAATCTCTTTCAAAGTGGGAGGTGTGACATCTACTTCCCACGTCGGCTCAGGCGATTCGGCAAGCGGCAATGTCGCAGCAGGCCTGCTGAACTGCTCTTCAAACTATTCTGTCTAACGTGCTAGTCGACGACCCTGAGGATGGATCAACTACCCATCTTTCTCAGCTGTTGTGTCGCTAACTGATGGCTTCCTCGGACCCGTGTTCCGGATGAGCTGGAATAGCACTGGCTTTCTTCATCTCACGGACCCTTGCCATCTACCAACGTTTCCGATCGATTCGGAGACTCCTTGTCAGGTAGTTTCAAGGGCTTACGGATAAGCTGAGAAGCAGTGCCCAACGGAACCTGTTTCCGTGCTGTGATTAAGCTGATTGATGGCTCAGTGATCACAGTTGTGACGTCAGAAGTTGGGCGCACAGCATGCATCAAAGGCATTCTACATGGCACATTTAAGACGATCCAAGCTAGCGCTCGGCTCGCCAATCCCACTCATCACTGACAATTGGTGGACCAGTTCATCTTAATACTGAGGAACTGTAGATTGCGAGTTCAAGTTACAGACATAAAGGTTAAAACATAGGTGTTTCTTTGAGGCTGGAAGAGTGGGCGCCAAGCGTGCGCGCACTATAGCATGGTCGAAATCCAAACACGTGCTCCAAGTTGATCTACAGTTTCAGACTGGTATGCGCCATCTGTAGCTGATGGCAGTATCGTATATTTGGGTCCAGGTCATTGAGGAATTCGGTGGGCGTCAGGTAACGCGGTCTGAAGGTTTGTGCTGGAAAGCAGTGCTGCTAAGGTAAATGTTGTGATCGGCGGATAGCTGCACGAATCGATCACTATTGTCTGTTCGGCGTGCGTCGACTCCGAAGCGCCCTTCCAGGAGTTGTCCAGAATCTGAAAGAGGCATTCAAATCACTAGCAAAAATCCCGATGTCAGTATCTTCGCCATGCGAAGAAGAGACCCGAGCTGTTGATAAGATTAGTCTTTGATGCCCTCTGAACTGCATTCAGTATTGTCATAAACTGAGGCGATGTCTACAGACGCTGCTTATTAACTCCGATAGAGGTTCGAAGCCGAACCGCACATATGGGGCTGTTCACTGGTATCCAGTCAAGTATATTGCCCTCAGCACGCTTGCCGAGTGCAATATCAACACCACAAATACCTTGAACCATAGACTCAGTATCGTCAGAGACGCCGCTGTCAGAATCAAAGATTTGTCGCGACCATGTTATGTTGTATGCGTGTTTCAGAGACATAGCACACATCAATAACAAGAGAGTGAAAAGTGAGAGTCATTTCTGCCTGCTGACCGATCTGATCATTTTTCAAACAAGTTAGCTAGAGGAGGAAAACACCTCAGCTATTCTGCCGCAATACATAGAAAAGAAAAAGATGTAACAAAGGCACGCCAGCTGAGTCACCGATAACGGAGGGAAATCATTCCGGAGAGCTATCAGCCGGCTATTGAGCAACGAAAAAGATACATTATGCCTAGTAAATGAGATCGTGGTTGGAAGGGGAAAGACAAAGAAACTCACAACACGAATTCCACTGAGGTAAGCTCCTAGCCATATCAACAAGTGTATCCAGCCAAACGGGTTCATCGCTTTTCGGACCCCAACCAGGGGGCCGCGAGGCTCCAACCGAGGCCAACTTCGGACTAAGGGCCTTCAATCCTCTTGACCAAGTCATAGCTCAGCCACGTCTTCTTCTAGCCACAACGCCGGCGTGCAAATAACGCACGTCGCGGGAGTAGGTGAGTTGGCATGCGAACACTTGACCCAGCCATCGGAGTCTGGTGCGTGAAATAACGGTGCCGAGCGGTTCACTTCTCCTTCCTGTGCCGTAAACGAGGCCTCGAACACGCCCACTGCTCACACGGTGTTCCGACTAGATATGAGCCAAACTGGGAAGGCACCGATGGTCGAACGTAACTAGCCTCTTTACGTCTGCTGATTTAATGGTCAAGTTCCACAACAGTACAGCAGGGTCGAACTTACGGGTGCACTGTACACCCTACCTTTCAGGGATAGGGTGATATTGCGTCGGCGCCATAGGTGGCGAAGGTTAGCGATCTGACCTATAGTGCGGACGTGAAGTGAAAGTCTAGGCCTGATGGAGGAGCTACATGTATCGAGGGAAGCAGCTGCGAGGCCAGCGGCAGTCTTGTCCAACAAGCAGGGAAGAAGAGTTTAGAAAAGCGAAAAACAAGATAGAGTATTGTCTAATGGGTCGAGAGGGCAGATGTTACTCTCCGACAGACCGTTCAGAAAGAAGGGTTTCGTTCGAAATGTCCTACCTCTAGCCTTTGACTTACAAGACGGTGGGGTACATGAAGGTTCGCTTGAGCGACTCCATTCAGAGCATTTGGCCCAACAGCCTGACCCACAAAACCGTGAAGAGCAAGTGCAGCTCTGGAGTGTGATTTCAGAGACCCGATGGGATCTGCTAGAGACCTGTCACACATAGCCTTTAAATATATAGAATGCACTTGTTTTATAACCGTATTATGTTACGCACCTACGACCACGGCCAGCCTCGGGAGGGTTTGCACCAATGTGACTAGGGGATGCCTGGCTTGAGGCGGACGGTAACAAAGCAATGAGTACCCGGAAGTGCCCCTCCCCCACCGTCAGAGACGGCGTGGCGTACATGCTCTACGCCAATCGAGCTGTGAGCTTAGAATCCGTAGATCTGTTGTTTTCAGTGGCTAGGTTTTAAAGGAAGAGGGCCATCGACCTCCCCCTAAGCCCCGAAGATGATTGGATTGAGAGACTGTTAGTCTGACCTCTAACCATTGACCTGTCTGGTATGAGTGGCTCTGAAAGCATTGGGAAAGTGCCACCTAGCGTAGCTGAATGGGTCACGGGAGTATGCAAACCATGGCAACATACTAAAGTTCAGCATCGTTACTTTGGGGAGAGAAAATCACTTACATGACAAAATGTGTCAAATCCTGAACGCACGAAATAAAATTTCCAGAGGAGCAGGCAGACTGAACGGCGGTACACAATGTATTCAATTTATAGGAAGCTAGATATGACTACTATCCAGTAACCAGCGGTTCAGCAGAATCGAGTAAACGCTAAGTAAATGCACAGCTGTCTTGATAATTTGTGTTAAACAGTCAGGCATGTAAGTACTGCTTGAGAACTTTAACAGATCAGTTAACCCAGAGAAAATATCTAGCAGATCCTGAAAGCAAAGATGTATCCTACGTGACACAGAACAGGCAGAGAGGGACGTTTCTGAAACTCCTAAGGCTTACTGTGAGTATCTGCAGAAAACATTATCCCTTAGACTTAAGATCGGTGACATGTCGCCTTGAAAGGTTCAGGGTATGTCCAAAATGATAATTAGCCTCACCCACCGATGAAACTACGACATAAGCTAACTGTAGATGCGCTCAAAACACGTCCCTTATGACCAAGGGTCAGCTGGATTGAGACGGGCGATATGATACCAACAATGGGAATTGTTTCTTCTGGCTAGGAACAACCCGTGGCAGTTGTTAGCTATGTCAGCTGCGCTGAGCTTATAATCTCATGCCTGAGACTTGAGACGGTAGGTCCATCGATGTCTCGCGACCTTCTGCGAGAAGGATACTGGGGATGAGCTTGTCTGACTAGTGATCTGTTTGTGTCATTCACCGTACCTGCATACATCAAGAAGGTGCACACACACCATGCTGAGCTGGAAACACATAAGAAGATGATAATGCAGGTTGGATGAGAAAGGTGTGATAAAGTGCACTATTTGTCTGGACAATCGAAGTCAGTTGGTAGCAGATATTGAAAGGGTTGAAATAGGACCATGACAGAACTCACACAGATAGCTCTGACTCAGAAAAATAACCGGACGATTGACAGTCGATTAGCTTCTCCAACTCAGGATTGGCATGCAGAGTGCTAGGCCAACCGTAGATGATTGAATCTTGGTGAAAATCCCGATTGGTGCAAGCGTACAACATTTGGTGTGTTTTCGTCATGGGAGGAAAAAGAGGTACCCAGCATGGTGCCAAACGCCATGCTTTGGAACAATCGTTCACGGAGCTCCATAACTTTTGTACCACGTGTCTGGCATCTGAGGACCGGAAGCTGAAAACGAAGAGCGATGTGGCGTCAAGCGGCTCCTGTAGATGTAACATAGGAGAAGAGAGCAGGGTCATTCATGCCTGAGGTAACATGCTGCTTTGGGGTCACTACAAGGATTTGCGCAATTATCAGTCGAAAGGAGCAGCTGCTAAAGTCAATTGTTCTCATTATTTGGAGTATATGAATTCAAAGTACTACGGTAAATAAAATGAGATGACTCCAAAGGTTGTCGCGCTTTCCATTTTAAGTGTGCTCACTCGGAAAAGGAATAACGGCAATACTGGGGTTTTTATTTCATGGCGACTTTTCGCTCTTTGACTTGATAAATAGGCGTAACTTCTCCTGACTGCCTCTTTTCCCCTTTCTGTTGTTGTCAGCCATGCAAATTGTTTATTGGTCAAGCGTTGAATCTATATATATATATATATATATATATATATATATATATTCAAGAGCAAATAACTGTGTGGATGATCTGTGTAGCTTCGGACTTTGCATGGGCAAGGAAACAATTTAATATCCCAATTGGACTTTACCAGAGCAAGTGACTGGGGTATCCGCACAAAATAATGTACAACTGACGTTGGATTGTTCTCTCAGCAAAAATATAAAGTAGCGCCAGTTTATATAACTATCCAGGCAAGATGTTTATGTTATAACTTTAAAACTACAGGTCATACTCTGCTGAATAAATGTCGTTTGTAGGCTTCTGTTAAAAGTACATATTTTAGCTTCCCTAGCACGTTAAAATTCAAGTGATATACTACGACAATTCAATGGTTGTTTCCCTTTTAGGAAACATGGCAATATCGGTTAATAGTCCACCCCGCATTATCGCCCACTTTTGAGATATCCCGATGTATGTATGTATTCTCAACAGACAATTAACTAGACACAGAGCCAGCACAAAACCATGGAAATCAGCAGATAAGCAAGATTCATCGCGTCATAATAGTTGAAGGTGAGCAACACACTTCAACTAATATGCCGCAGGAAGAATGGAACATTTTGATAAAAAGTAGAACAAAACATTTTTCGTTTGTTTTTCACACGCCGCGTTTGTTCTTTTGTTGTTATTTTCAATGTTGCTAGTATTAAACATGTGAATCAATACAATACTGTACACAATTCTTCCACTGATTCCGGTTGCGGGCCATGTCTTCAAGAGTGCTAAGCCATTGGCGCTCTTCATCCTTGGGTCCCCATCCTGGAAGACGTACAGATTCAACAGCGGCTAGACACGACGTCAGCGATTTCATGTGCTGCCGCGAAGTGGAAGGCTGACGACCACGCGGTCGCCTCCAGCCAGGTCCTTGACGAGCAAATAGAGCGCCACGCGGTAGACGCTCAGGTTCCATGCGTAGGACGTGACTGAGCCATCTCAACTGGCCCAACAAAACCAGTTTGTTGAAGGGCATACTCGCATTCCCCAACATGCGACGACGAACGTCATTACTATTAACTCGATGTTGCCACCAAACACGAGCGATCCTCCTTAAGCAACCGTTATCGAAGGCAGAAAGACAACGCATGTCTTCCACGCGAATCGGCCAAGACTCGCACCCATACAACAATACTGAGCGAACTGATGCGCCGTAAACGCGGTCCTTTAGTGAGAATGAGACGTCGCGACGACGCCACAAGTGTCTCAGATTGACAAATGCTGATCGAGTTTTAGCGATACGAAAAGAAACTTCTTTGTTGATAGTGCCGTCAGCAGAAACCCAGCTCCCAAGGTAGACGAAACTATATACCTGTTCAAGTTGTGCACCTTCGACAGTGAGCACTGGAGCAGGTGAAAGCCAATCCTTGAGCAGTACTTTACACTTCGATGGGGCGAAGCTCATGCCATGCTTAGATGCTTCAACCGCCAAACGAACCAAAATGAGTTGCATACCCTGAGAATCGTCACCAAGTAAGGCGATATCATCAGCATAATCTAAGTCGGTCGCGCGCTCATCCGATAGAAGCTCTAGGCCAAAATGTTGGAAACCTTTTAGATTATTCGACAGAACATTTTCGATTGCGAAGTTGAAGAGGAATGGGGGCATAGGGCAGCCCTGTCGCACACCGCTATTGAAAGCGAATTGCGAGGAAAGCTTGCCATAGACCCTCACTCTGCCGCATGTATGAAGGTAAAGTGCTCATAAGATGGTGGTGTATTTCTCTGGCACCCCATTCTTTAGCAATCAACGCCATAAAGCAGGTCGATCAACGGAGTAGAAAGCGGCACGTAAGTCTAGGAATGCGACGATAGTGGGGCTGTGATAAATGTGGCGATGTTCGAGGAGCTGGCGGAGCGTGAAGATTTGATCCACGCATCCGCGGCCAGGACGGAAACCAGCTTGTTCTTCACGATAGTATGACTCACGTACTGGGGATAGTTTGCGAAGCAGAATAGATGCCAGTAGCTTAGAGGCAACCGAAATAAGACTAATCCCTCGATGATTTGCATATGAAGTGCGAGCGCCTTTCTTGAAAATTGCGACAATAACTGATTCACCCTAAGCGGAAGGCACTTTCTATTCATGCCAAATTTTTGCAAACAGCGCGGTCAGCTGGTTCATGATCGCCACATCGCCGTACTTGAATAGTCCGTCTAAGCCAGCAGCCTTGAAGCGCTTCAAGCGTCAAATCTCGAGGCAGACTTCCGCTTCACTGGGTGGATTCAGTGGGAGGAGCCAGGCTGGACAGCAAGGTGTACTGCATGTACTGATGGATGGTGGAGGCCAGTTGAACTGCGAGTGAAAGTGCTCGGCCCAGCGGTCCATACGCCTCTGTTGGTTGGTGATCGGAGACTCATCCACCTCACAAATGACCTCACTGACACCAGGCTTTCTGAGGCCAGTGGACCGAATGAGTTGGAAAAGCCTGCGAGTGTTGCCAGAGAGGGTAGCGGTCTCCATCTCTAAAGCACGCTCAGACCACCATGTCTCGCGATCCTTGCGTAGGCTTAGCTTGAGCAGCCGGTTGGCAGAACGGCACCGCTCGTTGCAATCTGATTCCGCCGGGATATCTTTGCGGTGTTCGAACAGCTCCAGAGATCCAAGCCTTCAACGGGCGTCGAGTTAGGCCACAGCATAACTGTCCGGAAATGGTCATCGCCATCCGTAAACAAGTCCAGTGTTGTTCCACTTCTTGCGGTGGATTGCAACTGAGTGCATATGCCAATGAAGACGGATAGCTCGCCTGGACGGAGGAATCAGTTAATCTGTTTACATCAATCTTGCGGTGCTTCGTGTTTCGGGATCCTCCAAAACACATACAGATTTTCGCGCAGACCAGAGCATGATCTGAATCAACGAAGGTGGACCAAAAGGACCTGCAGTCCAGTATGCTGCCGCGCCTTCTGAAGCTAATTGCAATGCAATCAATTTGAGACCACGGTTGTGTTGAAGAAGGGGAACGCCACGTTGCGGAACGCTTCTTCGTACGCCTGAAGTTAGTGCTCGAGAGAAACAGACGGTTGTCTTCGCACAATGTGAGAAATCTCTCTCCATTATCAGAGCGGTTCTCATCAAGGGCGTGATGACCACCAAGGTGGCGTTCGTATGGTAACAGGCGGCCAACCCGTGCATTAAAATCCCCAGCAAGGATAACGACATCCGACTTTTTAGCATTAGTCGAGAGCTGTTGTAGATCTCGGTAGAATTCGTCCGTGACCGAGTCGCCACTGCAGTCAGTTGGAGCGTACACGGAGATCACAAACAAGTTGCGTCTCTCTTCGCGGTGCCTGTTGATTCTACATGAACCCCGAAGCCGAACTGCACATAGTCGGCTGTTAATAGGGAACCAGGTCAGTAGTGCCGCCTCGGCCTTGTCAGTTAGTGCCATACCTACACCAGCCAGACCCGCTGAGGCTGCTTCTGGATCTCCAGAAAGACGCAGGTGATATCTGGCTTCGTGGTCACTGGGGGATGTCAACGTAAGCACAGTGCTGGGATCTTGCAATCGGGTTTCTGAAAGGTAGCAGACATCAATGTCTATGGACTCTAGGGTGTGAGCTAGACCAGTTTGCTGTAAAATCTGCATGAGTGTCAGAACGTTGAAGCACGCCAGACGGAACGAGGATCGGGGACGAAGGAGAGCCATAGGTTGAACCTCTTTGTCTGCGGCGCAACCGGAATCGCAGCCAGATTGTTGAACACATTATTCGGGTAACGGAAATTGAAGATTGTTAGCAAACGAACAATTGGCGTGTGATGAAGTCGCGTGAATGTGAGAAGCATAAATAGTAGCTAGTGAGCACGTTGTAGTACAGTCCATGGTTTTGTGAGAGGGTGTGATACTACCCGGTTGCCCAAGCCGAAGTAGGGAGTGGACTTAGTGGACTCCACCCCGAGCCTTTGGCTAAATAAACTACCCGCAAGGCAGCGGGGCGAATTTAGAGAATCGCGCCCTTTGGGAGGCGTTGACTGAATGTTCAGTTCATGCGTCTTTGTTTGGTAGATTACCAAACAGGGGCCCAATACTCCCCATGATGTCAGCACACCTGCTGGAATACAATGTCCCACCGAGGTGGAACATTGTCGCCGAACACTTTGCTGGAACGGGGTACACCCGTGAGGAGGTAGTTCCGCAAGCCAGCCGATGGTGGGCAGTAAAGCGGGTTCGACTATAAATATACCCTATGCTATAAATAGACGTTTAAACTAGGTCTTTTTAAGCTGGAGAAATTTCATTCCACTTTAATTTGTTCATTCTGCCTACCTGAAGAACCTTCTATTAAGATGCATACGTTGATTACACTAATTGCGCTTACCTTCGTTAACTTTGTTGCGTTTGTGGCATATTTGGAGTAACCCGAGAACATTTTGTACTTGTCGCTTATTCGTTGATAACCAATTTACGGCATATGCTAATTACGGGAGGAGTTATGTCTGCATAGTCGTATGCTTTAAAAGATACTATTTTGATAATGTTATTTCAAGTGATTTGCTGTTGCTTGAATTCCCCGGTGTGGCTGCGCTTGATGTGCATGTTGACAAGGTGCCTACCTGTCTATTACCCACTACCTCGTCCATACTGGCTCCAGGAGACAGTTGGTCGTTGCTGCAGAGGACGGGGTGCACGGTCCTTGTGGCCGTGCTAGGCTCGAAGATTGGTTCCATGCACTCAGTGTGAAGCGGACTACGCTCCAGCCACCGCCTTGTGTGCGCTTGATTCCCCAAATACAGGGTGCTTGTGTTTGCCTGTGAAGGAGTGTGGGCCGGCTCCGTTGATGAAACGTGGCTCCGAACCACATGCCTCCCGGTCTTATTCCTTCGGGTTTACACTGGATATGGGGTGTGTGGTTGGAGCTGTGGGTGGTGCAGCGCAAGCCACGCATGGTCCCTCTGTAGGTGCAAGCGTCCTGTGGCTGTCCCTGTGGAGGCCACAGTGACAGGCAAATCCGAAACCGGATGCCGCTAATCATACACACACATTATATATATATATATATATATATATATATATATATATATATATATATATATATATATATATATATATATATATAGAGAGAGAGAGAGAGAGAGAGAGAGAGAGAGAGAAAGACTAGCCCGTAGCCTGAAGGTAACAAGCTTGCGTTGTACTCTGACAACGTGGATTCGAGTCTACGTAGGGGCAGGGTGACCCACGCAGTATCCTAGTCCACATGCGACCAGTGGTGGTTGCGCAGCAGCGAAGCCTCAGTGTTGGGAGGAGCAACACCGAACCACCTCCAATTTGGATACGGTCCTTGTGATCGTAATGACCGAAATCTACTTCAAAGTGGACCAGGTCTCAATAGAGATTGTGTCACAATCCAAACACACAGCGGATACTTTGAATTCAACGTTGAGTCCTGCCTTTTTCTAATCCGTTGTGCCGACGCGTGGGAGTAAACTAATAACGTATCGAGTTCGATTACGAAAACGTTACGAAATCGACTCTGGCTTGGCGGCAATAGTTAGTTCGATCTAGACTTCTTGCCATTAATTCCTCACTTCCCTAAATTGAGGATCTGCTGCAAGTGCCGTCAGATTACTCGACACAATCAACTACCGAATAAACTTGCGCAGGCAATATTATATCCCGAGGAGTGGCCGCATTAAACACGAGTAAAGAGGCAAACGTCTCTTCATCATCAAATATAACCTTCGCATGGGTGATCGCACCCAGCTTACGCGGGAGTGCACCAGAAGCAAAGTTCCCCAAAGCCGAAACCACGCATAGATGCTGGAGGCCTGGCAACTGCGGTCCGGATTCTCTGTCTTGATTGGTGTCACTTCCGTGCTCGGTTTGGCGCAGGTTATCACAGATCGGTTGGTCCCCTTCTATTTCTCTCCAATGCAGGATAGTGACTGCTTTCACAACGATGTGTTAAGTCGCCCAATTGTTTTGTGTCTTGAAACCCACTTGGTGTATAAACCAGAGTGATTGGTTCCGTCCAGCTCCGTTCCTTTTTGGAGTAGCTGGTTGAGTTGGGTTGGTAGGATGAGTGCATAGTGTCGAGCAACAGCCGTTTCATGCACAGGCTTATCTCACGTACAACCGGGGATCACTGTAAGTCTTCGCAGGTACCAGGGATCGGTTGCATTATGTGGCCAGAAACGCCTGCATAAAAACAACATCCACGACATATCGGCTTGTTGGTATTCTTCAGTCGCTTTACGTTTAGATGCAGTGGGTTTTAAAAAGTAATGGAATTTCGTCACTAGTTGCAAACATATCGATGTCTGAAAGCCATGTTGAGTATAAAACGAGAACCTGCACGGTCACACACAGACAAACAATCGCCGCATCTGCGGCAGGACATTGGACGGCAGTCCCATCATTCCATCAGCAATGGGCATTCCATCTGTCTCCTGTGGAGTCAGAACAAGCAATCCGACTTTTGAAAGTGCGTGGTCCAGATTGCTGGGCCATGGGGACTGATCAGCAGCCGCCGTGATCAAATGGCTAGCTGTGATATTGTAAACGTGTGACCGAACGTCTTCCTACGCAATGCTGTGGTTCACCAAACAATTACTGAGAACATAATGTACTCGATACTCCTAATTACACAAAGATCCACCATCTCATTTAGGGCCACTAAAAAGAAGGTAAAACACTAACCGAGTGATATTAGTTGTATCTAACTTGACAAATACTTTACCAGAAAACATAGTTTCATAGCTAAGTATTGAAAAGTAAGGGGTAATCACCTTGGTACGGCGAGATCCAGAAACACCGGAACCAGATGGTTAGTGTCGAGGACGCGACAGCTATCGATGCGCTTAAGATGACGTAGATAGGGTGGACAAGGCCTCTCTACTGAAAGCTGTCGATAGAGTTGATCCAACAGCGGACCACGCGGAACCAATATACTCCATGCAGGCACCCAGTGTGTGTGCCTGCATTCGACTTCCAGAGATAAAACGGCGATCAGGCTGATTTCATTTGAATTTGGACATGCCTGGGAAAGTGGTATATCACTCGAATCACGTGACTTCTTGGACTGAGGCTCTAGGTTCTACAAACGGATAAAATAGGAGAGGAAAGCTTGTAGAGGGGGGCTACAATGATTCCACTGGATATCATTTGTTATATCATTCAAACTAGAGGGTCAGTGGTATGGAAACATCGGTTCAATGCGCCTCGTCATCAACAGTAGTAATAAAACCGCACTTTGCTGTAGGACTCTATTGCAAAACAGACATGAACTGAAGGGGAAAACCGTCTTTTACTCAGCTAGAGCGCATTACGTACAGATTCACAGGCAAGATGCCGACAAATTGCAAATGCAGTGTAACCACACAGAAACTATCTATCACGTCAAGATAAGACAGCATCGGTAAGGAAACTTGTCCGATAAACGAAGTAAACGCAATATTTGCGCTTATCGCCGAGCCAAGAGTCGCGCGGACCCCGACCAGGAAAACGAGGTAGCTTATCAGCGTACAGCCTAGGGGTGGTCAAATTTATCTATCGTTGTTAGGTGAATAGCAGACCACAACCTAGACCTAACGCCGCCCTAGATTCGGTTAACAAATTAGGGCCCTTGCCCGTCGGCGGCGCGCAGGAATATGTAGCGCGTGTTAAGATAAGCGATAATCACTGTTCTATTCATGCTGCTAACAAATTATATTAATCGATCCAAACTAGTATTTTCTCGTGTTCCGAATTGTAGCAGATAAACATCACAAGCAACCTCCTCCAAACAATAGTGGTCAAAGCTATGAGAAATCGTTAAATTCTCAATCGGAATACACTGTCGTGATGGAGACATCCAAAACGATGAGAAGCCCTCTTCTGGCGACAAAGGTATTACAAGTTGACGAAGCGACAATCTTAAAAGCACATAAAGGACAGTGATAACGCGGCCACGATAAAGAAACGAAGCGAAGAACGAATTGTTGTGCACAGTGTGAGGGATAGTTTTAAGTTTGTGGGTATCGTACGTGATGTAAATGTTACCAATCTAACCATGTGCTCCCTCGACGTTACTTCACTCTTCCCCAAGGTATCATTAGTTGAGACTGTAAACTACATCTAAGTATGTTGATGCAAACCACATTAATGTTGGCATACCCACAGTGATCCTAAATGAACTATGGCTCAGATGCACTTCCAATGTTCAGTTGCTATCCAATGGCGAATTATACCGGTAGTGCGAAAAAGTCGTGAAGGGTTCCCCACTGGGTCCATTCCTCGCCGATGTCTTCATGGGCATACTGGAACAGGGAAAGCTAAAGCCAACAGTCTCAAGTCTCGGTTTATATTGCCGTTACGTAGACGACATTTTTGTCTTGCTTCAATCGTTTCGAAGTATCGAGGAACTAACAACCACATGCAACCAAGGCCATCCAGTAATAAAGTTCACGTGCGGTTGAGGAAAACAGTCGCTTTTACTTCCTCGATGTCGCCATGAAAAGACCTGATGAGGGTGCGCTGCAGCGTTGCGCCTATAGGAAAAGTACGTGGAATGGGCAGTACACAAATTTCTACAGCTTTGTGCCACTTAAGTTTAAACGGAACTTGCCAAATACCCTAGTGAGCCGAGTTGAACTTATCTGCTCGAACGACACGCTTCCGAAGAAATTGGCGTGCATTCGCTTAGTGCTAAGGGAGAATGGCTATCCGGAAAGCTTCATCAGAGCCATCATGGAACATAAGAAGAAACAGCCTGTAGTTTTGACAGTAGGACGTAAGCCAATCTTCCTACGACTGCCATACAAGGGCGAGGTTGCGACAGAACTTCTATCTCATCGTCTTTCGTTTGCACTCAGACACACCTATCCAGTAGCGCAGGTGCAAATCCAGTTCACTAGCATTCCGATGGTGAGACTAAACTTAAGAGACAAGAGGTCTGTCCACACCAACTCATAGTGTATCTAGTCATTTTGATGCTACTGTGGAGCGGAATACATCTGTCGTACGACAAGGCGTCTGTCTGAGAGAATGAAGGAACACCACCCGGTCGGGCTTAGAACTGGAAGTGGAAATACAGCGAATTCTTCAGTAGCCGCGCACCTAGTCGATACAGGGCACGCCACAAAGTTCATTGATTCGTTCAAAATCATCTATCAGGCCCCAAAGAACCGCTCGAACTACGTCCGCAAGCGACTACTAGAAGCCGCTGAAACAATTGTGATCCGGCTGTATGAACCGGAGCTATGTGTTCAACAGAAGCTAGCTAATGGCTTAGGACTACCCTGGCCCAAACGGCCGGTTACCTCTGACCCACGAAGTCACATGCGATCGGTTGTCGTGACAGACAGCACTGTCAGCATCCAATTAACTCGCTCTAGGAGTAAACACTTGTAATGTCTGTCTGCACATTTTGATTTGCATATAATTGTACAAGCCTGAGGACGAATTATCGAAAACATATGTTCACTTACCCTGACTTCTGATCATACTTTGGTATTTTTTAAAGCTGTGAAGAGCAAGTGGTTCTGTGACAAAACTGCGCCGTCACGCGGAAAATATGTTGAGTGACCTGTGGTGCCTTGTCTAATGACGTGAAGACGTCGGTTGGAAAAACGAACAATCGGCTGTCTCACGCGTGTGTCATTGATGTCTGCATTGTGAGAATTCGTGGGACAACTTGTGAAAGTGACCACGATGAAATGAAGTAAAGTGAGAAACGGATCATCCCTAGCAGACTAGTCTGTTCTCGAGAAGCCGTCCAACACTCCACTGGGAAAATAACGAAACCCGAAGTTTTCGTGTGCATAGCACGTTAAATATTCACGTGTGCCGATCGAAAAATTTCCGAGCCAGCACACAAAAGGTAAAAAGATAGATCGAGTCGGATACAGGATTAGAGATCAAAGAGAAAACCTAGTCAAAATCAGATACCAGTGTCGCTGCGTTGGTATCAATCACAAGGTGCGTATATAACTGAAGTGACCACATCCCCGTCGGAAATCTGCCTATTCATCTCTTATCTTGAATAGGTGTCCCGCAGTGAAGCAATGCACGAGAAGTGAGGCCAGTAACCTTGTCACCTAAGATATCGGGTAGATACACTTGGTGTTACCAACAAACGATGCAACTATCCCACTTGAAACTTGCGATCGTGATCAGATCGCCACCGTCTACTTGGACAGTTTCCTTCCACACTTACTCGGAAACATAAGTCAGATAAATGTTAGATACAGGAAAACTCTTTGCAAAACATATCCCACCATCAATCAGATATTGTTCACCTAATGGGTTAGAGGGTCAACGTTTTGAGAGATTCGCCTTCTGAATCTCACAAGATTCATCAATGTTGATGATACCGAAAGATGATCCGGTAACAGCTGTAGTAAGTATATAACTCCACCAAAAATGGGCGTTCATAGAGTAAAAAGGTAACGTTATAAAATGTGGAAAATCGGTGGTTTTACAAACCGGATGCTGCGTTAATTCCCCTCTGCTTCAGCGTGGTGCTTCGGCGTGCTCACCGCCGTGACACAAGGAGATGCGATGCGTATTGCCTCCTTATGACCTTCAATACAGATGGGTCAATGATGAAAATTTGGACGAGTTCACTCTAAGCATCACACTCCCAAGAGAGTAGAGGGATAACGATTGGCTCACATACGATCATACTCGGCTGATCGCTGCGCCGAATACTCCAAAGAGCGACTCAGCCAACGCACTGTCTCAGTGATACCAGATAAATCGCTCAAACCCACATGAGACGTTGAAATAGCACACTACATCTCGATTAAAGCAACAACTAGCGAGTGCTGCCGAAGCGGAGAAACGCATCTGGCCAGCATTCCCCTCCTCCATCAGTACAGAAAGGTGGTCGCTCACCATCTACACACTAGCACAGATGTGAATCGTCCTCCGATGGTTGGTAGTTCACATTTAGTCTCATGCTTAAAAAGAGTTGATGAACGTCTACAGAAAATCGGCGGTGTTAGTCATTTGGTGTCAGACTTCAAAATACGTCTATTAGTCTTGGCGATCTGCTGCCCCTCATGAAAGCCGCACTATGGAAAACCAAGTTGAATTCCGCCCGTGCGGGGATTTATTCATCGTATATTCATCTTCGCCGAGTAATTGAACATCATCATACTTGTAAAGGTTTCATCATGGTAGTACTCCTTGTTTTGGGAACCATCTTCGACTCAGATGAATGCATTTGCTCATGATAACGTTTACCTTTAAGTGGTGTGCGGCAGTAATCTTTTTCCTCCTTAAACTCTTCGTACCTTAATCTCCTGGGACGTGTAAAGGTCTGCAAGAAATCGCTCTACGAGTGAAAAGTTCGATAAGTATACTGGGTCAAAATACCATCCGTTGGGATAATAACTCAAAATGCTCGAGTGGTTTGCTTGGCTAGTCACTTGATCATTAAGTGATCGCATCAGTAGAGTTGGCCGAACACTACAAAACTATACCAATTATGCAGCCGACGGGATGTACTGATGGAAAGGTGTGAGCTGGTGCAGTGTCGTCAATAAACCGTATGGATCAGAGAAGCGGTCACCGCGTGAAAAACACTAAGTGACTGGTAATGCTTGATCACTGACACCCACGAAGTACTGCCGACAGCTGGGGTGAAATTGGGATGACCAATATCAAAGTTCGTCAGTTGGTGCACAGCAACAGACCATACAGAGCCTCACAAGAGTAAACTGCAAACTATGAACAGCCTAGGCCGACTATGCCGTTTTGTTATACGCCTCCTAATCAGCAGTCTAGATGTGCACCGTTAACCATCACTGTACGTAGCTGGGGTGGAGAGCCTGGAGAATACCAGCCTTCGTAATTTAGCTCAAATCTGGTGGGAACACCGCGTGAGCAACGAGCGTGTTCGACGCCTCGCTTACGGCACAGGAAAAAGAACTGAACCGCTCAGCACCGTTATTTCACGCACCAGGCTCCGATGGCTCGGCCACGTGTTACGCATGCCAGCCCACCGACTCCCGCGACGTGCGTTGTTTGCGCGTCGGGGGTGTGGATGGAAAAAGAGGAGGAGTGGCCAAACGATGACTTGGTCCAGAGAAATGAAAACCCTCACTTCGGAGCTGGCCTCGGTTGGAGTGTCACGGCTCCCTGGTTGGGGTTCAAAAGACGGTAAACATTTTTGGCTGGATACACTTGCTGATATGGCTAGGAGCCGACCTCAGTGGCGTTCGTGCTGTGAGTTTATTGTCCCACCCCATCCCTCTTAGCCTCCCCCTCCAACTACGATATCATTATTTAGCCTTATATAACTTTGCATAGCAATTTTTTTGATGCACAGCAGCCGGCTGGTGGCTTACCGGAACGATGCCCATCCGTCACCGGTAGCTCAGCCAGCTTGCACCAGTTGCTTTTTTTCTCCTTTTTTCTATGTATTGCGGCACAGTAGCTGAGGTGTTCCCCACCTCCAGCTAACGTGTAGTATGATGATATGATGGCACCTGTGGACAATGCAGCGAAAATGCATGAAGCAACTAGCCGTCGTACTAGGTTTGGTTGATTTACTTTAGGAGTACATACTCTACACCGGTTGGTACAGTCAACAGGGTGTGGGCGTTCTACCCGTCGTTCGTTAGCCTCTAAATCTTGGCTCTGCAAAGCGGAGACTACAAGTTTGCTTAATAATCTTCAATGGGCCTTTGTGTAGTTTCCACTAGGTTTCATAACTTTCTTTATTCTAATGATTCGTGAAGAGTTTCATGACGACTTGTCACATTGTGTATGGAGACAATGTTCTCGCATCATCGGGTAACGGCCCCATAGCTAGTGCGTTCTTGTTTGTCAAGGGTTTGCCGTACTCTATATTTATCAAGTGCAGTCATCATATACTCTCTCGATGAGGATAACTTCCGTACTCCGTGGGCACCTTAAGGATCATGGATCCTGCAGCACAACTTGTTTTTAGCACTTCTCGTGATCAGATTCACGTGTACAACATTGTTCTTTTAACAACACAGTTGCGAAAATGCATTCGACAAAGTACTCCTCGCGATATCCAGTGGTCACAGAATTACTCCTAAGGGACCATTTGTTAAGAAGCTGCGACTCAATTTGTAGTGTTTGATGACACTCGCCCATCGCTGACATGAACCCACTACAAGGCACGTTACAGAACCTAACTCCAGGCGAACCAGTGTCCATTAATAAAGCAACCAAACTGCGTGTGCGTCATTCCCGTGACAATGCTGTCAACGGTAACCGAGGTTAAGCATGCGACTGTGACAACGAACTTGAGGATCACTCACCCTCTATCTCACGCTCCGGCAGGTGCAGTGTCCAGTTGTAACAACTGCCGCCATTGAACATGGTCCCAAATAGCGGTAAGAGTGGTGAGTGGAAATAAGCCCAAGTGACATGACTGACCTGCTCTGATTGCGTCATTGCATTCCGCGCTAAGTGCGCTGGCGTAAGTCAACTAGAATCAAAAAGGATCAACAATTTAGCTGACGCGCTCTGGTTTTGCCGGATACACGGAGCTATTTCAATAGTAAATTGCATAGTTTTGATCATGAGATTGTAAAAACTGACTGAAAAATTTGAGAGAGTTTCAGTGCTTCAACATTGGAATCAAAGAAAACCGATCTTATTCACCGGCAGCCTTCGCTGAGTTCCGTCCCTAGATAAAGAGTAAAATCAGTCATGCTGACCGCCCCACCGTATCGGTGCCACTTCACCTGACACATCCTAACCTCTTTAATCGAACATATCCCATTCGACCTGAATGCGATTACCCCACTCATAGTCCTAACGGTTCGGTTATAACACCAGTAGCGCAGAACCGGAGGCAATCCAGAAGAGAAAAACCGAGTAACGTACGTATTGATAGCCTCGATAAAAAGGCCAGAAGCGACACCTGTAGGTCCATCATATTTAATGAGCACAAGCGGTGCGACACAGATCTCACTGTCACCTTTAGTTGCGTCTCCCAACAAATCCATGTCACGAGCAACAACTGCATGACATTGCATGAACAATGCAGCCGTCTATAATGAATATGGAATTACTTTTCTCCTCCCCTACTTTGGATATTTTCAAAAAGCGATTGGTTGTTGTACTTAGCTCCCAACACTTCGTTATCTAAGCTAAGGCAATGTGAAATATCTTTATAATGTCGTCATACCGGATTTATATGTCACATATGAGTAACCGACTTTATTCTTTTGCTTGCAAAATACGGCAACTATCGCTGTGCACCATGTTATTCTGTAAGCTTGCATTCAATTTTTATGTGACACAGGTTATTCAGCAACGCATTCAGTTCGATGACCGCTTAAACATATTTTGATCTTGTAGTTTCACCCCAACCATCTTACTGGAATTATCAAGCAGATGCTTTTTTACCCGTGATAAATCACTGTTCGTTGTAGATCGGCTGAATTTAAGTGGAATGAGATGATCTCGATGTGGAAAATTGGGAATTTAGCTCTGCTGTGGGTATAAGTGAAAAGATCGTAGCTGTCGTTACTTATGACGTGCACTGTGAAAGGAATCTTAGTAACGGACGTAGGGATTAACGCGAGAGGAAGATGTATAAAAGGTAGGACTCGACATGCACTGGATTTCTCAAATTCGTCTTGCTATATATAGTACAGAAAGTATTTTCTTTAAAATCTGATGTGGTTGATACAAGATATAGTATAAATCTGATTTAATGATCGAGACTGTGCGGACTAGAATATTACCACGGAGCCAAAACTATGAGAGAATAGAAAGTCCTTAACCAGAGACTGCCTCAAAAACCTGGGCACAATGTAACAGGAGTGGTTAGTAACAGACCCCAGACACGGAGCACAGAGAAATCGATACTAACTGAACCTTAACTATTGGGTAACCTGACAAGATTAGTCCTTGAGATACGCAAAAGCGCAATGCAGCATAACTCAGTTGGTCCGAGAGACACGCTACTAATCGTATAACGTTAAAGTCTGCTTCCGTTTCTCAGAGTAACCTTGCCAGCAGTTACTATTACGACAAAAAACGAGACGCGTCGGTAAGAGATCGTTTGAAACTACCGTTTAGTCGCTTTGTGGTTGTCAGAAGAACGATAGCATAGCTCAATGGCGCATCCCACCATGGAAACCACTCGTCAGACAGTGTGGTGAACAATGTAGACAGTTATGCATAGCACTTGGGGGTTCAAGTGCGCAGTGCTTTGAGTAACATCTATTTTCGCAGCTGAAGTTTGAAGTAAAACAAATGAACCAGCCAAAGATTAAAGACAAAAATTACTGGTCATGGGAACGACAAACACTGGTAGGCAACTAAGTGGGAACAACCAGCAATAGAATGGCTTTGAAAAGTGAAATGATGAAATAAGAACTGCGCATGATGAATCGTAACATGTTAAGTGAAAATTCAATAAACATTATCGAAGATATTATGGAACACTTACTTCAAGTTTAGAGGTGAGAAATAAGTCATCCTCAAACTCATAATCAACACGGTCGCAAGTGATCGCCTCTGCCTCTGATGGATTCGTAAAAGATACTTCCCAGCCGGAATGCCGTAATAATGCAGCGGCACGGGACACAGCATATGACGGAATTCGCACAGCCTCTTCGTTTCGGTCGATAGAAATCGGGGTTAACGCTGAAGGTAGGAGGTGAAAATGTGAAAGTTGAGCGCGTTTTGACAACGTCCGTTAGAAGTTATCAGTTGGGAATTAAATCAATCGCTAGCTAAAAATAATCTACGAGACGAACATTTAATTAGAAATCATCCTGTCCTTCAGTTGGCACCATGTGAGCCATAAATCAAACATCAACAGGTCAGAGAATATGCCCATCAGGGGAATATCATCAAGCGAGCTTGTACTAATGAGTGGATATTTGGTCATATAAGAAGAAGGAGAGATTGAAGAGGAATAAGGTTCCGTATAGGTCACGATAACGTAAAACAGTAGTTTAACGGAAGATCACATGGCACTGTTGCGAGGACACATGACAACCGATGTGCGCTGAGGTGGCGTGTACTATACAATTAAATAGATCTATGATGACACGGAGCTAATCATGTTGTTTTAGTATATACGTAGATTGACGAAGTGTGGAGAAGAAATGAGCTACAACTTCTTGGGGCAACCGGGTAGTATCACGCCCACTGACGAATCATGGACCACACTGCTTACTACCGCTCCTGCTATACTTATCTTCTGTGCTAACTCAACCGCTCAACCTCCACTCACAGATCACCCCACCTCCCGTCCTTCACCCACATGTACTCTTATGTCTTTTACGGTCACCGTCACAAACGACCCACGTCTCGCAACTGATGGAAGCAACAGCCAAACTCCCGGTTTTCAATGTCCTGCGATCGCAACCGTCTCTCACTCCACCGAAGCTCCAGCTCTTCTTCGACCTGGTTCTCCATTCATCCTCGCAGCGTTCAATGTTCGAACTTTGATGCAGATCGGACGACAAGCATGTCTTGCCCGTACTCCTGAAACGCTTTCGGTAGACATCTGTTGTCTTTCAGAGACCAGATTACAAGACTCTAGCGCCATCATCAGAATGGCCTCTCCGGTAAACTCTGACGCCAAATACTACTTGCGGCTTTCCGGAGACCCAGAGTCTGCCGCCACTGGTCAAGCTGGTGTTGGGGTTGTATTAAGTGCCAGGGCTGAATCAGCTCTGCTTGACTGGATCCCAGTCAACAGTCGGCTATGTGCAGTCAGACTAAGAGGTTCATGTAACGTAAGCAGGCGTCGAGATGTTAAGCGTGCCTTGTTTGTCGCCTCCGCCTACGCCCCTACAGACTGCAGCCCGGATGCAGTCAAGGATAGCTTTTACCAGCAGCTACATGAATTTCTGAGTTCCTCCAAAAGGACTGATATAGTCATTCTTGCCGGGGACTTTAACGCACAGGTGGGCCGCCTTCCACCAAGCGAGCACCACCTTGGGGGTAGTTTTGGTCTCGGTGGCAGTCGATGAGACAATGGAGACAGACTGCTTGATCTTTGCTCTGATCATCGCTTGTTTCCTGCGAGCACTAGTTTTCGGCACTCGAGGAGACGCACTGCTACCTGGCGCCCGCCCTCAAACGCAAGAGTGCTCCCAGATTGAGCAGATAGCAATCAGCTATAGATGGTGCGAAGCGTAACGAACTGCCGATCTTACTGCTCAACTTATCCGATTACGCATTGGTTCGTGCTAAGATTTGCATGCAGTTCGGAGGATCACCCAAGCGCGCTCACTACCGACCGGACGTCGCAAATCTACAAGACCCTGCGATTTTAACCAGGTACCAAGCCTCATTGTCAACCTTGCTTGGCCCAACTATTGACGGTGACCTCGATTCGCAGTGGGCGCAGATCAAAGAAGCGCTAGTTTCCGCCAGTGTCGACACTTGTGGAGTTACCCGTCACCACCGAAGCATTGGATTTCCGCCCTCTCTTTGTCGTTGATGGACAAACGCCGCTTGATCCCGTCGGATTCCAGACACAGTGAAGAACGCCAATCCCATGATCGAGAGTTGGGCAGGAGTCTGCAAATGGACCGCGAAACTTGGTGGTGTGAACGTGCTAGGGTGATGGAGCTTGCTAGTCCCTCTGGCAATACCAGAAAACTTTTCCATCTCATTCGAGTCATCGAAAGTGTTCAATCTGGTATAGGTGAAACAATATGCGAAGAGGTTGGCACCTTATTCACCAATCTTCAACGACGGTTGGGGCGATGGGCCGAACATTTTGGCTGGCAGTTTTGTTGGCCTCAGCTCCATCTGCTACCACTGGAGCTCGCGCTGGGGCCGAATGGTCTACCCCACAGATCTTCCCCCCTACCAGGAAATCGAACAGGAGCTCCGCCACATGAAGTGTCATAAAAACCCCGGCCCTGATGGTCTTTCTCCCGCTTTATTTAAAGATGGTGGCGCATCGCTGGTTCAAGAACTCACTGCTTTGTTCTCGAAAGTTTGGTCGAAAGAGAAAGTTCCATCATCTTGGGGTGAATCGATAGTTGTTCCCATCTTCAAAAACAACCTGCGCAAAATCTGCTCCAACTACAGAGGTATAAGCTTAGTTCTCGTCGTTTGCAAGCTGCTGGTGTCCAGCATACTTCGCAGACCATCCCCAACGCGCGAATCGTTGCAGCGAGAAGAATAAGCCGGGTTTCACCCTGGTCACAGATCCATCGATCAAATCTTCACACTTCGCCAGATCCTCGAGCTCCACCAGGTGTATTAGAGGCCAAAAATTGCTGTGTTCTTGGATATCCGTGCAGCCTTCGATTCTGTCGATCGAACGGTATTGTGGCACTGCCTACTGAGGAATGGCATACCCGAGAAGTTTGTCTCCATACTGTGCGCTCTCTATGGTCTGACCTTGGGTAGGGTTACGGCTTATGGCAAGCTTTCGCTTTCCTTTGTGGTCTCCAATGGAGTTCGAAAAGGATGCCCTATCTCTCCGTTCCTATTCAACTTCGGCATTGAGGATGTCCTAAAGAACGCTCTGAGCGATTCGTTGAACGCTGGCGTTGTTGATTTGGATTATGCTGATGATATCGTCTTGCTGGGTGACGATCCACACGTCGTGCAACTTGCATTAAACCGCTTGGCGGTTGAAGCACCAAAGCATAGTATGTACTTTTCGCCATTCAAATGCAAGGCTCTCTTTCAAGACTGGCAGGTGCCTGTGCCTGCAATCATTCCTGGTGGTGAGACACTACAGGTTGTGGAGAGCTTTGTCTACTTTAGATGTTGCATCACTACTGGCGGGACCGTTGGAGAGGCCCTCACTTCGAAGTTAGTCTCAGTTGGAGCGTCTCGGCTCCCTGATTGGTGTTCGAAAGACGATGAAAACCTTTGGCTGGATACACTTGTTGATATGGCTAGAAGCCGACCTCAGTGGCGTTCGTGCTGTGAGTTTTTTTTGTCCCACCCCATCTCTCTTAGCCTCCCCCTCCAACCACGATCTCATTATTTAGCATTTCATAATTTTGCATAGTAAATTGCTTTTTTTCTGTTGCACAGCAGCCGGCAGGTAGCTTACCGGAACAATGCCCATCCGTTACCGGTAGCTCAGCTGGCTTGCACCTGCTGCATTTCATTCCCGTTTTTTAGGTGTTGCGGCACAGTAGCTGAGGTGTTTCCCACCTCTAGCTAAAGTGTATATAGTGTGTGTGTGGGCTGCTGGAGACGAGATTTCGATGCGCAACTCGAGAGGACGCCTCACTTTTGCTAGGCTGAGGCACTTGTGGCGTCGCCACGACATTCATCACTCCATCGAAGGGCGGGTCTATTGTGCAACTGTTCGTGCTGTATTGTTGTACGGATGCGAGACGTGGCCCATTCGTAAAGACGACTTGCGCAGATTATTCGTCTTCGAGCACCGCCGTCTGCGGTCCATTGCTTGTGTGTGGTGGTGGCACCACGTAAGCAATGTGGAAGTTAGACAGCGTGTCTTGGGACGAGAAAGCCACTCATTTGAGGAGCTCGTCTCAATGCATCAACTGCAGTGGCTGGGACACGTATTGCACATGCCTGTCCAACGTTGCGCGCGTCGTTTGGAGTTGCTGGACAGAGCTGGGAGAGACGGTCTGTGGACAGTCTGCAACTTGAAGAAGCCGCATGTAAAAGATGACGAAGCAGCTGGCCTCGGCCGGTTGCTGTCGACTAGCTGGTTGGGGTCCGACAGACACGGATACTTGCTGGTTGAAGACTTTGGAACCCATGGCCCAAGATCGATGTCAGTGGCGGACGTGTGTATCGGTGTGTTGCAGTGTCACTACTTCCTCCCCCTAAAAAAACAAGCTCAAAAATAATTTCAAAAACTGAGTGGCAAACTGGACTAAAAAGCTTATGTTGTTGTTGTTGTTATTTCCTTATCATTCAATATGAAGAAAGCATGGATCATCGGGCCAGGAAAGAGGTAAAGAAAGGAGACAGCCAGCGGAAACCAAGAAGCATTGCTGGACTCTGACCCATGGTATGAGTACCGGCATCGAAAAATGAGTGATCGCACCGGGTTCGCTAGATGCAAGTGCCCTGAGCGAATGCTTGTTTAATAGATTTACATTCTACAATAGCCCCCCATATCTTCTAGATGGTCATCTGCTGCTTTAAATTGCACGGCTTCGAATTGCTAACACCAAGCGCTGAGGTCGCTGCCGTTGTTGACTTAACTAGCGTCGATCTGAGACTAATTAGAGCATACATACACGACCAACAGGCACCATAAATATGCTGTTCGGGGCTCATCAATTGCAGGAGAGAAATGCAGAGAGCGACACATCCTGGTGTACTCGCTGTTTGTTGACTTCACCAAAGCATTTGATACCGTGAACAGCGAGACTGCGATGGTTTTGGGTCAGTTTGGTTGTCTGAGTAAGTTTATGAGTCCAGTTGTATGTCTGTATAGCGGTGTGTGGGATAGAGTACAGCTGAGTGTACAATTCCTAGCTCACTTTGACGTTGTCTCTAGTGTGAAGCAAGGCTGTTCTGTCTAACACTTAACTCAATGCTATGATGTATTGTGCTTTTGATGTTGCTTGTGATTACGGCCTCTATGTGGAGCACCGCATTGTTGGTGTTACTGAACATCCGTCGTTACGGGGTGAGAACTCTAGTGAACGAAGCAGCTGCCCGTATGTCGCCGT